TGTAATTTCTGGAGATTTCAATTCGCTTGAATGACACAGACCTATCGAGCTGTGTGGGACACGTTGGGAAGTCACAGTTATCGAGGAATGTTAAGACTTAGAAGGTTAACCGTGACGGCTGCGATCTTCCAGGCCTGGTTCCTTATGAGAAGAGGGAGAGAAGTCATGAGAATGTCAGAGTAGTAGGAACAATATATTCTTTACAAACTGAATTGGAGAAGATTTGGGATGTAACCTTGACTGCCGGTGTGCACGTCTAGTCACGAGGTGGGCTCGGTCCGGAGTGATGTCTGGGAACGGATATTCGAGTGGTCACTATTGGCTGTAGCATTGAATTTCATTGGTTGGACCGCGACATCGCGTGTTAGTAGGTCGCGCCAGACATTGAGCGAGAGCTGGCCAGGGTACGGGCAGTCAGCATGACTGCAGCATTGACGTGATGAGTCAACGATCACGGGTTCCCACAGTGCCGCTAACGCTCAATACATACCTTCGAAATTATCTTCCCTTGATTTCGGTCGGATTTAATGGTTTTTACAATTTCGGTCCCCTTAAGTCAGCTGTTCAGCTCACCGGTAGTGGACAGTCATCGTTGAACTGTCAGACTTGCCAGTGATTTTTCGTTCAATTCAAAGGGGTCTTTTAGTAAGTGGCTATCCATACATTAACTCCTGACATCTACCATCTATATAAAAGAATGTTAGCTAATGGAGAAATTACTTAGAGCTCCGTTTAGCAGATACACTCCTAGAACTTCGATTATGATATGGCTCAGTTCGGGCCCTGTGTGACGCAAAGTCACGAACTTGCGCACAAATCCTTGCAGCGTGCAAACAGTTGACCCCGCGACCCCTCAAGTTATAGAGCGCTAAAGAAACGACCGATCTTAAAATTAACGCACAGTTTGATTCATACAGTATTATTTATTAGCCATTTACTACCGTCTTTTATTGGAAGACTTCTATGAGTAAGCAACACCAACGAATTTGAGGGGTCATCCGCTAAATTTCGTGTGACTGAAAGCAGGCGTGACACTTGGAAGTTCTTTTTTCGGTGAGGATTCGTCCTGGGGCCCCGGATATGTGCTCATTTATTATTAACACCTACTAGCAAAAGTCCAGTAACCATTTTTGGCCTTCCCTGCAATTTTGCAAGTAGGTGGTAATAATAAACGAATTTTATTTTGGTTCAGTCGTTGTTCGTCCTGCTTTGCCTATCACTCACTGGCTTACATTCGGCCATATCGGTTCTCCACTTCATGGCGGAGCCGTGATGGTTGGGTTCTTGTCAAAACACTCTCTGACAGAGAGACGTTCACGCGTTAATAGTTAAGTTTTAAGTCCTTGGGTCGACCCTAGCATGGTACACTCCGATAGAAGGACGCCCACGCGTTCAAAGCTAAGTTTTAAGACCGATCTTTGGTTTAAGGCAGCTCTTCATGCGGCACCAGGCCTTTCTTGCTTTTAATAGATATCCCATCAACCATATTCCTCCCTTCGGGTAATCTTTAACACTTACTGCCGCGCTGGCTAATAACTTCATAGAGGGAGGCTACCTTGGGCCGACCCTAACATGCCACACCTCGACAGATAGACGCCCACGCGTTCTAAGCTACGGTTTGCCGACCCTACCATGGCACTCTTCGACAGAGAGACGCCCACGCGTTCAAAGTTAAGGTTTAAGTCCTTGGGTCAACCCTAACATGGTACACTTCGACAGAAGGACGCCCAAGTGTTCAAGGCTAAGGTTTAAGACCGATCTTCATTCGGCGCCTGACCTTCCCCGCCTTCACTAAGTACCCCAACAGCCGTGTTCTATCCCGTACGTGCAGCCTTCGGGTAATCTATCCCACTTACTGTCACGCCGGCTAATTGCTTCATGGTGCGACGGTTTACCGACCCTATCATGGCACTCTTTGACAG